ATTCATGTTGTTGATCAAATTCAAATTCCAAGTTATTTTTATAATGAAATTTTTTTCTTTACCAGCTTTAAAGTATTGTAAAATTACATGTGAAACAAAAAAGGATGATAGATTATCGTTTCTTATTGATGATGATGATGATGATAAATACAGTCCTATTGAAACTCTTATTATTAATGATCGTATTTGGCTTGATGAAATACATGATATTTTATCTTATTTTTCTAATCTTCATCGTTTATCAATTGATTATCTTGATGGATTTCGTAATAAACAATTAAAAATTGATTCAATTAATTTAAAATCTTTAACATATGTTAATCTTAAAGTTCAATGTCTTGATTTTAATCAATTTGAACAATTAATTATCGGTTATTTTCAACAAGTTGAATCTTTATATCTTTCATCAAGATATGATATTGACTATTTAAATGCAAATCGATGGCAACAATTGATTTTAAATCATATGAAAAATTTAAAAATTTTTGATTTATATCATATAGATTGTAAACGATTTGATAATAATAATTCTCAACAAATATATCATGATTTGATTGACAATTTTGTTTCTCCATTTTGGATTAAACGACAATGGTTTTTTACACATCATCATGAACAACACGGAAATTTTCATACAGGATATTTTTATTCAACAAATCCATATAAGTATAAATATTAGATTTTAAGATTGTTCGAAATTATTTTTCATCATTTAGGAGAAAAGATTATACATTATATTATGGAACAGATGATAATAATTGTCAATTTTATCAACAAATAAATTTCAATAAAATTAATCATGTTCGTATATGTGGTACACAATCTAAAAATAGTATTATTAATTATTTTCCAAATGTTACTGAACTTACTTTTGATTTATCTAATGATTCAATTACAATCGATCTTAATCGTATTTTTCCTTTATGAAAACTTACGAAATTAGTTATTGAATGTTATCAATTTCCTTTTAAACGATTAATCAAGTTATTATATTCTACAGTTAATTTAAATTCATTAAAAATTTGTAAAACATTAATTAAGGATACTGAATATGAATTAATTCAACAAAGTGAACTTTTTCAAATGATATCAAATAAGAATATGATTAAAAATTTGGTTATTGATGAATGTTGTACATTAAAACATATTCAATTATTTGTTGGTTTATGTCCTCGATTACAACAACTTACAAGTGGAATGAATCGAAAAGAATTTTTATCGATTGTACAATTTTTATTATCAACAAATGATAAAAATATACAAAATTTACCCTTTTTATGTGTTTTATATGCACCTAAAGTATCATTAAAGTAAATGAAGAAATTTATTAAATTAGAAAAAGTACTTAATGATTATTCAATAAATCATGTTGATCGTAAATTGTATCTGTGGTGGTAAAATTTAGTTGTATTTAGAAAAATATTTTATCTTTGTATATAATTATTTTCAAATAAATAGAAAGATTGATTATTGAAATAAGAAATTTTATGCTACTATTAACAGAAAAAATAATTATAAAATACCAATAATAATTTCACTATATAGTTTATCAGATGCAGAGTAAGCCAAAAGTCTTGGTACTTCTCAGAAAAATGGATTTTTCTTTCTTATGGCAAATCTGGAAACGCTCAAAGTTAGGCATCTAGCCTTAGGTATAAGATAGATATATAGACTCGTATGGTAGAGAAAAGTTTTTGTCAGACCGCAAAAATGAAGAATAATGAGAATCATCATGATAAATTAAGTAGACAATGTTGGACAGAAGAATTGTGAAATATTGAATTTATTGTAAAATTTTTTTTTTGTACACATTCCTTATGAATAAAAACTTCAGCAGTTCTTTGCGACCTGAGAAAAAAAAATCTCTGTCGTACAACCTTATGTATCTATCTTATAGCTAAGGCTAGAGATATTACAATTTAGGATAATATTCATCTCGTTTGACGATGTGGGTGTAGTTAGAGAGAAGACCCTTATTCACATCCATTCACTCGCACCCACACTCACACCGTTTACTAAATGATATTAACCATTTGAGGACCGAATTTTTTTTCATTGAATTCAGCTTCTCTGCATATACATTCAAATCTTCATCAGAAACTTCAAGTTCATCTAAGTTATCGACTAGTTTATCGTAATCGAAATCGAAGTCACTCTTGCTGCTGTCATCACTAGTTTATGAATCACAGGACTTGTCATCAACTTCATTATCTCCATAGAATTCCATTTATTTAGTTTTAATTATAAAAACGGTATGAAGAAATGAAGAGTACAAGTACGAAAGAGAAATGATATGCTTTGCAAATTCAAGAACAACGTAAATTCGTCAATGACAACGGGAATATATATAGACCCGATAGAGAGTCAGAATATTCTTGACAAATAAAAGATCGGAGAAGAAGAAAGAAATTATGACATCATTGTACTCTAGCAGGAAGAACAAAGGATATTTGTAAAGAATTTATATGAGAGAAGGAAAGAAAGAAAAAAACAGTATAAGCTGACAAATTCGGTTGTCTATGACCTTAATGACATTACATATTTAATAGTTTAATGTGAACGAAACACTTTTTTCTCTACTGAAAAATAGGTACGACAAATATGGCTCATCGGTCCTCAAAGGGTTCAAGTGTCACTCCCACTACTTTTGGTACACCCCAAGTATTTGCCTAACTCGATTACTACTTTAGTACGAGTGTCATTTCGGTTGGCGTATGGTACGAATAAACCTGATTAAATATAATTTATTTTAATATAAAAGTTCAGCTAAACACTATGAGTATGACATGTTTACATGTTAGTATCATGGGTATACTTTCTTTGTTAATTGTCTATCTGTATATTGAATGCAATCTTGTTGTCTCAGAATATGTAGATCAAGAGGGAAACAGTAAATTTCAGGACTTCAACGGACTTCAATCATAGTGACTTCAAATTTTCACAAGACTTCTAAAAACTTCTAAAGACTCCACAAGACTTCATTTGACTTCATCAAACTTCATATGACTGTAGAGACTTGACGAGACTTTGGAGACTTCAGCAATTTCAAAAGACTTCAAGAAACTTCTAAGACTTCATGAGACTTAAAGGCTGAAGTCTCTGCTGTTTCCTCTTTGGCTTAAAGACCCCAAAAGACCTCATCGGGCTTCATCAGACTTCATGAGGCTTCAGAGACTTCATCAGATTTCACCAGACTTCATATGACTTCGCAAAACTTTGAGAGATTTCAGAAGACTTTGAGAGACTTCAAGGTCAAAATCTCTGTTGTTTCCTCCTTGATGTAGATACTGCTGTCTTAGAGTTGTTCATCTAGATTTCCATTGGATATCATTCTATGCATCTCAGCTTGACTGCATGAATTAGTAAAAAACAACCATATCGTTCAACCACCTATGTCATTGTACAGAAAAATATTGATGCAAATGTTCACATTCACATCCAAACATATTCTTTTTGTACGTTTGATACTATTTTTATATAGAACATCAAAGCAGCATAAAATACAGACACAACCGAATATTTAAGCGAGCGTTAAACGAGCAGCTATTTGTTTGTGTTTGGTTGTTCAACAATGAACTGCAAATTATCAGCTATCCCCATGACGAAATTTTTATCATTGACTTGGTTTTGCTTGAATCGAACATAGAATGAGATCAATGTTGTTCCTGGAGGAATTTTTCCATCAATTGATTTTTGGATCATTGATATTTTGTTCTTTCGCTCGTTGTTAGTTACTGGATCTACCAGAAGCAGTGTTTCAGATGGATAAAATATTTTAGAAAGAATGTTAACGAAACTTACCAATTTGAACATTACTGATGTAAGACGTATCACTTTTGAACCAAATATCAACATATGCTGTATCTTTAGTATCATTGATGCCACCTAAATCGGCACGTGCTGTAAATTTTGTTTCATATGAATCGAATAATCGTACAAAGCGAGAAACATCTATAACTTGTTCGATAGCATTATGAAATAAAGATGTATAACGTTCTCCACCGAAAAACAAGCATCGACCCCCATGATTATCATGGGCGATTTCGCTTCCGATCATGTTGTATAACCACTGGAGAACATCTCGACGTTCCCATCCGGGTATCATCGTTTGATTTAGACGACTTTCATTACATTTTTCTTCAGCATCACCATTCCTTAATAAATTTCTTCCGAATTCGAACGAGGTTACGAGTGAGCCATTGGGTAAAATTGAATTGATTATAAATAATTCTTTCTGGTAATTAATCAAATTGATTTTTGATTCACGCATATTCACACGATTGAACTTAGCTAAGCGTTGAACAGTTACATTGAAAATATCACATCGTTTCATATCGACATCATCCAAGAGAATTTCTCTCAATAATAGGTGATGAAACAATGTGCCACTCAAATCGGAACGATTATTAATAGTAGTAGTATAGAGGAATGCAGTTGAACGAATGTTTTCAAAAGATGAATTTCTTATTTGAACATTTGAAACGAGCACTTGATTGACAAAACCAATGTTGACAAAACGTGTTCGGTCAAAAAATGAATTTTTTATTTTCAACTGTGGAAATAGTGTTTGAATGAATGTTGATCCACTAAAGTTACAATCGTACCATGTGTCATTGTATGTCGAAACTTCGCTTCCAGTAAACATTACACTTCGAAACATACTTCTATTGTTTCTTTTTGTCTTGAATAGAACATCGATAAAGTTCGAATGATCAACAATGGCATCGTTAAAATTAACATCAGTAAGACTAACATCTGTGAAATTTGTTCCTGTTAAATCACAATGTTCGAATGTTGATCCAGTTAAATTTACATGTTTAAATGATGAATTTCGCAAAAAAGCACGTGATAAACGAATCCCATTTAGATTCATCATCTTCATTGTATCACCTCGATTTGAACGACCAAATTCACAGTTAGATAGATCGACACCTTCTAAATCGACAGAACGATAGTTCATATTTCCAACATATTCACTGACATATAATAACCGACTATCATATAATAACTCTATAAGATACACTTTTCGTTTTGGATCAACTTGTTCTATTGTAGTCAATGTTCTTGCTCTTAAAAATATCAAATCAGCTTCTGTTAAGTCTTCAGTCGATTTTCGAAGAGTCTCTTGAGTTTCTGACAGAAATTTGTCATAAATTTGTTGAATACGTAGTTCAGTAGCACGTATATCACCATGTTGTCGTTCTATGTCGATATTTAATTTATCATCCATACGACGTTGATATTCAGCATCACGATCTAATTGAAGATTTCTCGAATCATGTATTGTTTGTATGACTTTAAATGCACCGATCATCAACGGAACAAGTATGGCCGCAATAAGTTTGAGAAGTTGAATGATCAGAAAACATTTTGTTCGAGGTTTTCGATAAGTCATCCATTTTTCGAAAGGGATTACCACATTATTTTCATTCAATTTTGATCGCTCTTTTAGTGTTTTTGTATGTTGCATGGAGTCTGATGCTGATCGAGGTCTCATTTTATCACAAATATTCAATTCTGAAAGGAAATATCATTGTTATATTACAAAATTTTTTCTCACATGACTATCGGAAACCAACTTCCATACTTCGATATAATCAAAGTCGGTTAAAGATTTAAAAAAGAAAATGAATGAAAAACTTTGAGAAGTCAGCATTGATAAGAACATTTATCAAATATAGAGGAAATCATTATGAAAAAAGAAACAAAACCGTCTATATTCTAGCATAAAAACTTGTAATGTTTATATGTTGAAATCTTCTAGATGATATAGATTATGCGAGTGGTAGTAAGATTGAGGATTGTAATTGCTAACATAGGCTATCAGATTCGAATGTAAAAATTGTTGGACTCAATAGACTTTTACTATCTCAATGAAGCGAAGTTTTTTTCCTTAAATCTTTTCTTACAAGAGGATTCTCATCAGAATGTAAAAAGATTTCGTTTAACATGATGTTAGAATTGTTTTCCTCTAATCGGAAACAAAATAAAAAATAAAAAGAATGCTCTTAAATGCGAAGAGGAATGAAGGAATTTGTCAGGGAAAATGCCATTGAAATTACATGGTCCATTAAATTCATCGATAAATATATCAAAAAGAAAACTTAACCTATGTTGTTACTATCATCTAAAGAATTACAGTTTTATGCTGACAAAACATGGATTGAATGATTGCTGTAAAATAGTTTTTCTTTTTCTATCCATTTACGTAGGCTGTTTCAGAACTATAACTTAGGTGAACATAAGGATTATGATTGATTTATCGCTATCTAAAAGTTGGCAGGTGTCACCATAATCCAAGTGCTCGTATCAAAATTTGATTTCAGTGACAAAAATGATAGATTGATACCAATAAAAAAAAAAGATAAATATACAAATCTGGATTCCATTTTTATATTTATCAAGTATGTTGTTCTATTTAGAAGAGTATCCTGATCATGAATAGTACTTGGATTGAACAATTGACACATATGAACATATCTTTTCAATTCTTTCTGTATTTACAATGATTGTATTCTAAAATAGCACTTGTACCGAATACTAAAGCATATTGATGGTGCTCATTCAAGATCATCATCAGTGTCCTTGATTGCCATAATATAAATCTTGAATTACTAATTTACCTAGAAAACTATCGGGAGTTCTTCCCAGGTTCATCGTTTCGACCACCGGATATTGCAGGAACCGGCAGGAAAATGCGGGAAAAATCACCGTATCCTGCAGGAAAACACTGGAAATAGCCGGAACATGAAGCAGTATTCCGGCCGGAAATTCTTCGGATTTTTTCCGGTGAATTCCGACCAATTTCCTGTGTTTTCCAGCAGGAACTGAGCGGAGAATCATCGGAAAAAATTCCGAAAATTGAGAGTGTGGGTGTGGGTCATTTCTACCGTGGAAATGGTAATTTATGCCATAGAAATGGTCATTTGTACCATAGTAATGGTCATTTGTGCCATGGAAATGGCCATTTGTACCATGGAAATGGTCATTTGTACTATAGAAATGGTCATTCGTGCCATAGAGATGGTCATTTGTATCATAGAAATGGTCATTTGTACCATAGAAATGGTCATTTGTACTATAGAAATAGTCATTTATGCCATTGAAATGGTGATTTCTACCATGGAAATGGTAATTTATGTCATAGAAATGGTCGTTTATGCCATAGAAATGGTCATTTATACCATAGAAATGGTAATTTATGCCATAGAAATGGTCATTTGTACCATAAAAATGGCCATTTGTACCATAGAAATGGTAATTTATGCAACAGAAATGGTCATTTGTACCATAGAAATGGTCCTTTGTACCAAGCGCTTGTTACAGACAGACAGACAAGCGGACAAACAGACACAGGTGAATTACGGTTTCTAGACCCTAGCCTTTCAGTCTAGGGAACATGCTTTCCACAGGTATCAATTCAGTAGCGAAAAAAAATTGAGTCATACTTTTTCTTATTCTCCATCTCGAATACATATATGCATATTAGTGAAGAAGAGAACAAAAAAAAATAAGCTCGTTATCACAGTACACAAATAAAACAGATCATTCTTGCAATATACAATCAGCCATTCCGAATTTCTAACACGCAATAGCCCTATGTGCAAATCTATAATACAAAAGCCATCTTCAAAGACAGAAATATAAAAGTAACTATACAGCGACGTTTGTTATTTCTTTATCTGGCCGTCGTCTTTAGCGAGAAAAAGTAGACCCTACCTTCTAATTAACGATTGAGTCGTTAGCCTACACATATTTAGTCAGCGGAGCGAGAAAAAACAACTTTCAACAAAGGCATATATATAAACACACAAAATACATCAAAGCACAATCCACATTACTACTAAACATATACACCTGCCTATTCACATCAAATAAACAACCGTCAATTCTTCCAACTTCAAATCATGCACATCAAAATACTTGTCTTTCTATCATTGATCGGCTTTGCCGCAGCCTGGTCAGTTCGCCAATATTTCCACGACGATGATAATAACCCTTTCGCCGAACGACCTATTCTTCGTAAGTTTCTCGAGACGCTCCTACGAAAACGTACAAATCACATTAATTTATGGCATACTTCCATTACCAAGCCGTGCCTGCTCAACTTTCTGCCAAAAACACGTATGAAGTGAATAGAATCCTGGTGAGAGAAGTATTCGGTTGTCATATGATGTTTACTAACACCTTGAACACCATTCTAACATTTCGGAGCCAATCAAACCTGTCAATAGAATGCTGGTGAATAGTATTCATTTGTCAGATAATGTTTATTCATAAGCTCGACACCATTCTAACACTTCGGAGCGAATCAAACAGATGAATAGAATCTTGCTGAATAGTATTCATTTGCCATATGATCTTTACTATCACATTCAACACCATTCCGACATTTCGAAGCCAATCAAACAGATGATTGGAATATTGGTGAATAGTTTTCATTTGCCAGATAATGCTTATTCATAAGTTCAAAGTCATTCTAACACTCCGAAGCGAATGAAAAAGATGAATAGAATTTTTGTGCATAATATTAATTTATCACATAATGCTCTCATAGGTACAACATCATTCTATCACTTGGAAGCGAATCAAAGAGATAAACAGAATGTTTATCAGTAACATTCCTCTGCCCTATGATGTTTACTCATAAGTTCCACACCATTCCACCACTTCGAAGTCAATCAAAGACATGAATACAAGTTTTGTGCAAAGTATTCATTTCTCACACTATCTTTACTCCTAGGTACAACATCATTCTAATACTTCGAACCAAATCCAAGAGATGAATAGAGTGTTAATAAAACTATTCCTTTGCCATACCATCTTTACTCATAGATTCAACTTCATTCTACGACTTCCATGCGAATCAAAGAGATCAATAGAGTCTTCCTGAGTAGTATTCATTTCTCACATCATGTTTACTCGTACATTCAACTTCATTCCACCACTTTGATGCGAATCAAAGAGACAAATAGAATCTTCCTCAATAGTATTCATTTCTCGCATAATATTTACTGATACATTCCACACCATTCAACCACTTCGAAGCGAATCCAAGAGATGAATAGAATGGTAATAAATACTATTCATTTACCATACCATCTTTATTCATAGATTTAACTTCATTCTACCGCTTCGAAGCCAATGAAAGAGATGAATAGAATCTTCCTGAATAGTATTCATTTCTCGCATGATGTTTACTCATACACTCCACGCTATTCAACCACTTGAAAGCGAATCACAGAGACGAATAGAATGTTAATGAGTAGTATTCATTTGTCATATTATGTTTGCTTATATATTCCACACCATTGTATCACTTCAAAGCGAATCAAAAAGATAAATCGAATGTTGATGAATAGTATTGATTTGTCGTATAATGTTTACTCATACATTCCACATCATTCTACCACTTCAAAGCGAATCAAAGAAATGAATAGAATTTTTGTGCATAATACTCATTTCTCATATGATGTTTATTCATAGATTCAACGTCATTTTAACACTTCAAAGCGAACCAAAGAGATGAATAGAATGTTTATAACTAGTATTCATCTCCCATATGATGTTTACTCATAGGCTCCACACCATTCTACCACGTCGAAGCGCATCAAAGAGGTGGATAGAAGTTTTGTGTAAAGTATTCATTTCACATACTATCTTTACTCCTAGATTCAACATCATTCTAACACTTCGAAGTGAATCAAATAGATGAATAGAATGTTAATGAATACTATTCGTTTGTCATACGATCTTTACTCATAGATTCAACTTCATTCTACCACTTCGATGTGAATAAAATAGATGAATCGAATGTTGTTGAATAGTATCCATTTGTCATATGATGTTTAATCATAGATTCAACATCATTCTACCACTTCCAAGGGAATCAAACCGATGAATAGAATGTTTATAGATAGTATTCCTCTGTCATATGATGTTTAGTCACAGATTCAACATCATGCTATCAATGTGATGCAAATCAAGAAACGAACAGAATCTTCATGAATAGTATGCATTTATCATATGATGTTTGTCTATAGATTCAACATCGTTCTAACAGTTCCAAGCGAGTGAAAGCGATGAATACAATCTTACTCAATTGTATTCATTTGTCATATATTGTTTCCTCATAGATTCAACGTCATTTTAACACTTTGAAACGAATCGAAGAGATGAATAGAATGTTAATAAATACTATTCATTTGTCAAACGATGTTTACGGATAGGTTCAACATCAGTCTATCACTTCGAAGCGAATCAAACAGATGCATAGAAGTTTTGTGAATAGTATTCATTTGTCATGTGATGTTT